CTGTTTTATCATCTCCATGGTAACAATCTAACTGAAACTGAAAACTGAATAAATCTAAACTTTCATATAAGTATTATAATCAATAAAAACATAGTTGTTAGAAAGAGTCTGAAAGAAATTGCAGATCATGTCATGGATGGGTCCATGCTTACAACAATAAAAAGCTATTTTTGGTGCATTACAGGACTATGTAAAAAAATTGACAAGATTGCTAAAAGAAAAAAATTCTCAGACCTTGGTGAATGGAAAGAGTCAATTTCGAATCATATGTATTGGTGCGCCGCAGACACCCCAGATGGAGACGGGGAGAAAATGAAGGAGAAGTGGTCTATACTTCCCCTTCACATACAGAACATACATACAAACCCGCTTGGCAACCATTATAAGGAATGTGGCCATGGTAACCTTCAAGGTGATGCAAGGAACAGACTGTGGATTGAAGCTGGTAGGCATAAATAGATAGTTAATAAAGTGTACTTCTTAATAATCCATAATATTAATTTTAGATAAAAATTTCAGCTAAGTATTGATTGATTCAGATGTGCTTGTACCTTTAACCCTTATATAATTTCAAAGATGTAGTGTAAACAATTATTTTTCAGACTTTTCCTATTGACTTGAGATTTCAGACACAATAACTTTTTTATCAGGTTCTGAGGTGGCTGTTAAAATGGAGGACCTCCTTCTGAAAAAGAATCTACTTGAGGATATTTCAAAGCTATCTCCCAAGTACCAGACATCTACACTAGAAGCAAAACACAGCTTAGATATACACTTCGCTCCAAAGCATACTGCCTTTTCATATTGGGGAATGTATACAAGGTACAATGGAAATGCAAGATTAAAATATAGCAATGGTTTTTGACAAATATGATTATATCCATCTTAACTTTTTCTTATTTTGTATTTTGTTTTGTTTTGTTTGAATAATCAGGTCATTATAATTTCAGGTTGTGTCTATCAGCCATCCACTATAATACTAATTCTGACAGAATGCAGAAAGTTTCCAAAAATGGAAGACCTATGTARGCTATAAGATTTCCAAAGGCTAAAAAGGGGAAATATTCTGTCCGACCTATTAAAACCGATCCTTCTTATGGTATGATTACTAAATGTGTTAATGACACAATATCTAAATTTGCAACATACTAACATTCAATCTTTCATTATTCTTTAGAGTACTGCATCGACATCATTGACAGTTTATTTGATAAGTACCAGACCTARGCCGAAGCACATGCCTTGAAAGTTTACATGAACCAATTAAAGGCTAACACACCTGGGCCCTTATCTGATGAGCTAGTAAAGCCAGACAAAGATGAAGCCATAATCAGCTTTGTAACAAGATACTACCAGTCTTCCCTAGTTAACTAACACACATTGCCTTTTGTAACCAGATCCATAGAAACCAGTAAAAAAATGAAAAGAAAAGACATAATTTAGTATTCTGCTTATATAAATTGTCATTCATCTGCAAAACAAAAACCTTGAAACTCAAAATTTTCTTCCAGACCAGGAGGCGGGAAGTGTGCCCTTATACATGACACAACACAGGAAGGCAATGGTACCCTGATCTCTTTTCCAAGAAACCCCCAGCACCAACGAACAAACTGCCTATATCCAACATGCCTATACTTTTTATGTTCTGGTCCTTCATAGCACTTGCTACCATACTGTTGTTTATATTGATACCAAGCTGTTTTGAGTACATGAACATTAAGGCAAACTGCTTTYAAGCCTGGGTGCAATGTTATACATTGGCCTTCTTCCTGCATCTCACCATCTTCAACTGCCTGTCTCATTAAATTTCTTGCTCTATCTACCTCCTTGCAGCAAACACATTCTTCTCGCCTATCCATCCTTTGACAAAATTCACATGTACACCTTTCGAATACATATGAAATATATTAAACAAGGTAAAAACTTGAAAAAAAAAANATTTTCAGATTTTCCAAAACTATTCATATCGAATACTGAGCAACGTAAAAGTATTGTGTCAGAATTTAGCTAATAAAAAGGGTAAATAATGAACATAAACGAATACCATTCTGTGTTCATCAAGCGATCATCTGTATGCACTTCATTTTCCTCTGCCGCTACATGATCCGTTTCTTCAATGTTTTGGCCTTGCGGCTCAAAACTAAAAGGTTCAATAAACCCTTTGAAGGTTTGTTCGGAATTCCTGTTTTCCAAGTCTTCAATGAATGACGAGCAAAGGCTCGATGAATCAGAGGAATCACTGGAATCACTGCTCGAAACACTCGAATCACTGTCCGCCATTTTGACTCATGAGGTTACCCACGTGTGACGTCACTTGATCACGTGACAATAAAACGAAGCTTTTCAGAGAGACGACGCAGAAAAAGGTGAAAAAATGTAATTAAAATTTTGTTTTTGCGTTTTTTAWTATCATCATGATATTTAGAGTAGCCTCATAGAAATATTAAGTAAAACCTACGATATATAAGAATAGAAGCAGCAGTTGCCCTTTAAAATTACAAAACGTAATAATAATTTTAATGTACAGTTGTATTCAAAATGTGGATTTTAAAATTGCAAAATGCTTATTACTAATAAGTTAATTTCATACAAATATCTCTTCAAAAAAATTAAATATAAGAATTATGATAAAAAATTTTCCGGGTCTGATGCCCAGAKCCCTGATTCACTATCTATTGCCCTAAATTTACGTTGGATTGATTGATTAATTTGATTTCTTTCGAGTAGCGTGTGTACAAATATTTGGATAAATCCAGAAGCGTAATAGCGTTGCCTGGAATATAGATTCCAGTCCTTTCAGTYCGGCAGTCGCGAAGGCTACAAAAGTTCTTTGAGTGAACTGACAGGGAAAGCTCATGCTTGAAAATCACCGTTTTCAAGCTGCTTGTACAACTCAGCAAGTTCATCTCGCGTTGGCGCAGATACCCCTGGGGATGCTGGGATATCAAATGCGATACTGTCGCTATTCGAGGCATCAGAATCGCTAAGTACACACGCATTAGCTAATACTTCATGTGAAGTGCTACTGCAAATAGAATAAGTCGAGCGATATGCAGGACTATTCGTATCATTAGCACTGTAATTGACATTTGGGATACCAGAAGCGTTAGCTGTCTGAGTTAACACTGTACTACGTACTGCAGCCGCACTACCATTGCTGGAACTACTGACAGTAGAACCAGCAAGCCTGTCCCCGGCGGCGTTACATACGGGAGAGAGTGGAAGGGTTGTACGCAGGTCTTTAGTATTTCCGGCAGTTTTTAAATTAGATTTACTATAAGCTATGTTTTGCGATGGGTAAGCTATGTTTTGCGATGGGTAAGTGTTGTTAGGTAAGTGAGATGAAGTGGAATCAATGTTACATTCAAAAGCGCGCGAATGAACAGCGGTCGTGGGTGCTTCGTTGCTGCTTCCAACAGAAGGTCTTGCAAAGGTTTTATCGCAAACGTTTCCGCGAGACGCCCCATTGGTCGATTTACGCAAATCAGCACTTGAACCGCTTGACAAATTCTTAGAAAAACAAGGACCTGAGCTTTGTTCCAATACCAAATCAGTTCCACTCCCACACGGAACATGACATACGTCTTCTTGAAAAGAATCTGGTCGTTTTTCAATGGAAAGACTGGGCTTTTCAGGAGTATCAGGAGGACTATTTTGGTTACGTCCTTGTGTGCTAGAAACCATGGTAGTCTTACCTGCTGATCCGAACTTAGAATTGCGACTAAACGAAATATCATGAATCATGCCTTCCTGAAAAGTGTTTGTAGTTTCTTCTTTGGCAAAATAATCATGATTTTCTGGGTTACCATCAAGTAATTTCTCGGTGTGACCTGGGGTACTACAGGAGTTTTTCGTATTGTGCGTTGTCAACAGACCCGTATTATTGAGTCCATCATTTTGGTAAGGGTGTGCTGTGTTTTCATTGGAAAATTCTCGTTTCTTTTCACGTTCAGCATCATTGGAGTTCCTTACTTTATCAGACCCTGCGCTTTTTCTAGCTCTACGTCTTCTTTTCGATGGGAGGGGTGCGAGGGAGACATCTTCTTCAAGACCTAGTTCTTTATAAGACATCGCCACTATAAACAGAAATAGAAGATGACGTTTTTTATCTTTTCWTAAACACGGCCTTCATCCCAAATTATAGGTGGAAAAGAGATAAAAGCGAGAACGTTTTTAACAATCGATACGTTATYGAAATCTTCACACCTTGTTGACTTGGTGAACTTCGTTTGATAGTACTTATTCTCGATGTATTTTCACTTGCACTCCCTGTAGCGAATTTGAATTTGGCGGCCATGGCCTGGAAGTTTCTCTCGCCTGAATCCTCGCGCCCGCACGAGTCGCA